AACGTAGATCTGCTGTCAAAACACCAAGCAGGCTTATAGAACGTATAAAGAATATGGTGAAGGATAGCACTGACAATATTACAATGCTCATATAAATTGATGGCATGTTGGTTTCTTTTTTAGTTCATATTCGTCATACCATGAGATGGTCTGATCTCTCTGCAGACCCATTAGCCCATGCAGGTCTCTTACTGCACTTCTCGTACAACATCCTTCCCTTGCTTTGGTTCATCAAGGAGGACAGCGCTTCTTGCTACATTACCTTCCAGTGCTACAGCAGGCAGTGCTGGGAAGAAAAGCTGTTAAACTGATACAGATTAGGAAAAGAAACCTTTTTGAGCAGACCAAATGTTATTCGTGCCTTTGATGGAAAGCGCTCAGCTCCACCAGCTGCAGCCATGAGACAACTGCACAGGATGCTGAACAGGAAACTGAGTCGAGTAGCTCTGTCAAGCCCTTGTCGGGATGACTCACCGCTTCAAAAGTCACAGGTGATCGCTGCGCGCACTTCTTTCGTCTTCTCTTTAGTCAAGGATGGACCTATCAGTAGAAGCAATGGAAGGCTCTGGCTGATGATGTAGCTGCATGGTCTCATTTCAGTTCTGGCCTCTAAGAGCTTCCTGGTGCAGATGCACAGCCTGCAGACATTTTGGGGAGAAACTTCTGACGCCTGCTACCTGTATGGGGGACGTGATGACACCAAACTCAACTGGAAAAATCTACGATTGGACTTTCTTGGAACCTTTTTTGGTTTGTGGCTGCATAGGCTTCAAATGGTGAGTGACTTTTCAAGGTGTTAAACGTGATGTTTGGTCTATGGTGAATCACATATTATCTATAAAGAAATGCTGCATTTTCCTGGAAGATACCATTACAGGAAGTACAGCTACTAATCGTTTGTCATATTGAACCAGACCATCAGGTTCTGTAGATAAAGCCAAATAAGCTTCTTTATATCATCTGAGCTTTCTACCCTAATCTCCCTGTCCTGCCTATTTTATATTTTTATCTGTTTTATTCAGCTTACTAGTGTTAATTGTTTTCATGTCATTATAATGGTGCAGTGCTTTCTCTTCCATACTTCAACCCTCCCTACTTACTTCTATTCTCCCCCAGGTCATTTTCAATGTTAAGACTGTCAGTTCTTGAAGATGGGGGCTATGTCTTCTACTACATAATAACAACACACAAGTGCTATGAACAAGTAAATAACAATCCTAGTGAATACTAGCCTGACCAAAAATACAAACACAGCTGTTAATGCAGCTGGATTCCTTGCTCTTGTGCCTCCTATTCCCAAACATTCCAAAATAAGGTTTTGCAAGACTTCTGCTGAATGACTGAGTTTTTTGGTGTAAAAGACCTAGTTGTCTGACATATGCAGCATTCTCAACCCACCACTTCATAAAATGCTTAGTGCTCCTCAAATACTAACTTCTGCAGTAAATACCATCTGCTAATACCTCTGTTAAATACTTTCTAAAGGAGACTAACTTTTTTAATGCTCAAAACTACTACGCACGCATGATGTCCCATAAGCCGCTCAATGTTATTTCTGCTACATTCATCCTTCATCTTTTTCTTTCATTTTATTGTCTAAAACATGGATATTTCCCATATTGTTTTTACTCATCTGACTAGTTTCATGTTATACAACAGAAATGTTCACAACTTAAAGATAAGCAAATGCATTTGTCTTTCAGTCTAACGATTTCACTTTGGGAATTGCAGGAACCTCTCAATATCATCCTGAAAATATATCACATCAAAAAGCAATAGGCACTAGAATAGTAAAAATTTTATAACTATTAAGAAAGAAATGTATTTTTGTTCAGCTGAACACAGGACTAATGAAAAATAAACTCAAGGAATAGTAAGCCAAAAGCAAATTTTTCAGTATCTTCCACCTTCTTATTTACTGACAGGATTCCTACGGTACAGAGACATACTGAGATCAGGAGGTTTCGGGGGAGTACAATCGAAACATTACAAATAAGCCGTGCTTTTTGCTGCATGAGAGGTACCTATCTATGGATCAGTGGAGGGTTGCTAGCTTTAAAACACATAAAAAGGAACACAATGCACTGTAACATTAATTCAGCTCCTTTTCTAATAAAGGGATTGGCCCAGTTCAGTGGGACCTTAAGAAACTAACACTTGTCTGATATATGTAGACTTTTCTAAAAGCACCCCAAAATATCAGAAGTTCATCTTGTTTGGGGTACAAATGCCTCAAGGTCTGACTGAAGATTTTGAACTCACTAATGGTTCTTCCATTGACCAGGGAGGGAGATAGAGATGGACTGACAAGTCAACCAAGAGCAGGGCAAATTAGTCCACCCCAGTCTGTGCAATCACAGCAAGATTGCTGCTAGCGTGGGAGCTGTTTAGTGGCAGTCAAACTTAGGCGTCTCTGCAGTACGCTGCTGTGACCCAGCACAGACGTTTCCTACATACGTCCTCTACCTCTAAATTTCTGACGTGCAGCGATTTCTCCTTGCATATCTTGAACGCAGTTCTTCAGAAAAGTTAGAGGTAGCATGTTAGTGGGTGATAAAAGGTAATCAAAGATTATTTGTGGTAGCAGTGAGCAGGGGGTGACAACACAGGATCCAGCTGTAACCTTTTGAGTCAATCTCATGGGACTCCTAGTATTGCAAGGGCCATTTTTTTTTTCCAGAGAAAACAATTTCTTTTGGAAAATGCCATGCTTTTTACTTAGAATGTTTGCATTTTCTCCCTACATCATGGCAATATTTTAAAGTCAGTCTATACACTGCGTTCTGCTCTGGTACGAGGATGAACAAGATCCTCCAAGATCAGCTTGAACACTCGGTGCAAATGCTCAACTAGTCTATTGGTAGTTCACATTGGTAGTTCGCACTAAACTCAGGTGGTGGGAGCCTGCCAAATCACGTCCTCAATAGCAGCAGCAGCCTGCTTAGTCTTAGGTCTGGAGGTGTCGTAGCCAAACTAATCTGGGAAAGTAAAGGTCAAGTGTCTCGCTTATAAGCATCTGGGGTTATAACTACAGTAGTTTTGGAGCATCAGATGATTCACAACTGAAGATGTTACAGGTTCTCAGGGTTTTTTTGTCAGCCTGGAGAATGGCCTGCAAGTGTCAAAAGTATCTTCTGTATTAGTGGGTGAGTAAATGTGAAAAGAGTATGCGTGAATGCTCTGCGGTTATAAGCCACAGTAACTTATTTTTGACCTCAGTAACAGGCAGGTCTGAATGGCAAGAGAGCGAGCCACTTCTTCAGAGTGAATAAATGCTGAGTAACCTGTTCTTAGAATAATAGCTGTGCATACATTCATAGCCCACTATCGCCTTGTATGCAAAATCGGCTCTATAAGAAACAGGTTTTGAACCTCCCTGCTGTCCTAATTCCACACCCCACTCTCAGCCTCTGCCCCTCTGGGTTCAGATCTCCCAAAACCTCTTAAAGTCTCTACAGCTTGTGCTGTCTGGTCCCTTTACGTCTTCCCTCTCCCTTTCTCCCTCTCCTGGGAATCTTCAGTTCCCTAACCTCCCTGAAGGCACCGTGCTTTAAGTCTTGTTCACACATACCTTTTGGATTCTTCTTCACCCTTTTGCCTTTCTGTTTCTTCTCAAGTGTAACCCCGGGCATGCTGACCTGTCCAGCTCTCCCAGTCCAATGCTTAAATGAGCATCTGCTGCACACAAAGGCTAAAATCAACTGCAATTTGTATTTATGGAAGTATAAAGTTTATATGGCTCTCTATTACCTGTAAATATAAACACCTGGAGATAATTTTCAGCAACTGATTACTGCTCAAAATCCTTGACAGTCAGAGTAATTGGAGACTGCAATGAAAGCATAAAGTGTAACCCCCTGTTCTCATGGTTTTCTCTTTTAAGGTTTTCTCCTGAGGTACAGACGCCTGTTTTGCATAAACCGCCACCGAATTCCTCGTCAGCCTCGCACAGAGCCCACACGTTGACTTGAAGAGAGCCGTGTTCCTCTGGCTGTTTGAACTTGCAACACAGCCAAGATCTGTTGTAAGTAAACCAGTTATTGTGCATAACCCACCAGATGAAATGTCTGTACTGTGGGCTAACCCTCCTGATACGTACGGCCTGTCTTACAAGCAATGCTACAACTTCTGATAGACCTTCATCCCCACAGCCGGCAAGTCAGAATCATCAGGCTTTGTGCTTTCCTGGGTGAGGCAAATCACTGGCCAGGTTTTCCCAAGGGATCAAGCTTTAAGCAGTCAACATTTAACTACAAAGGCAGCAAGAGCCTTCTGCCTTTATGCTAGGTCCCTCCCAAGTCCCGAAATCTGCTGACGTCAGAGAATCATAGCGCGATCTGGTGGGAGCCAAGTTATTCTTTAAACCGTTTCCCATTTCCTATTTCTGCCACAAAGCGGTGCGGTTGGCACCGAGCCCACCCACCGCCACGATGCGCCC